TGACGGTAAAGGCATAGACGAAGTCGATTTTGAAGCTCTTGGTTTGTTTTATTGTTGTGCTTTATTTGGATAGGTAAAAGTCACAGCACTTCAAAGATTCATGATTTTGACGACATTACAAAGGTCAACTCTTTCGGGTTTCGGGGTGAAGCCATTTTTTCCCTATGCCAAGTAGCGTGAGTTAAGATTCCTCGATGCTTTTGAGAATGGGGACTCAAGTTATCACTGTTTTAGCGATGTGACGATACATACCAGGACTGAACAGGCAAAAGTCGGCACGCGGTTGGAGTTCACGAATTCTGGTGGGTTAAAGTCCCGCCGTCCATTAGCGCGGAGTCGAGGGACAACTGTCTATGTTGAAAGGCTGTTTCACACTCTTCCTGTTCGCAGACGTTATCTCACAAACCAATCCCGTTTGTCGAGAGAATTTTCTCAAGCCATCACTCTGATTTCCAGTTATTGCCTTGTTTTAACTGGAGTTCAGCTGTCCTGTTATCGGATCGATAAGAAAGGGTGAGAGGCTCCTTTCACGTCTCCATTGGCATTAATCTAGGACAAAAATACTGGTTGTTTCCAATATGGAAGGGAACTCGCTCTCATCGAATATCGCTGCGGTTTATGGTCAAGCTCAGGTATGTTCTATTTTTTTTGGATTGTAGGAATTTTAGCTCGAATCGTTAGTTAAGATTACCAATGACTTTGCGGTCAATGATGAACTCAAGGATGAATACAAAGTCAAGCTTTCAGCCGAAGAGTTGGATGAAATCAAGTAGTGTTGTTAGTATCTTCTTCGACTCTTCTAGATTCTCAGGTTTCATATCTATGCCGCCGGTGGGTAGTACTGCTACCTTCGGTAGATCCTCGGGTGACCGACAAATTGTAAGCATTAATGGTCGTCCCTGCGACTTCCCCCAGTTCACCCGTCTTGCCACAGATGTTTGGCGTCGTTGCTGTCGCGAGTCTCTGTTGTCGAAATCACAGTCCCTTGCAATGCCTTCTCGAAGCGCTACTTCTGCTTTCCCGGTCCTTATTCTCCTCGTCAACCTACCCAGGGGTTAGTTAGTGGTAATAAATTCGTAATCATGCTATCAAAAAAAAACGAGGTAAATATTCTATACGTGACTCATACATTTTGAAATAAATATTTCTTGCTCTCGTAGGCTTACGCTATTATTGTGGTTTTGCTGACTGAATGCCTCTCGATGAACTGGTTATAGCCATGAAATTTCGATTCCACGTGTCACAATACAGTTATGCAAAAGAATAGTTAAATGGAATGGCGATCACGCTTTAATTCATTGCTCCACATTTTCCTTATTCCAATCCATTCTACCCGATATCGATTAGGCACGGCTATTCTGCTGTATCGCAAACCGAACGTTGCCATCACTCCAACTTGGTTAACTCCAGTGAGCATGTTGGGTACCACATTGTAGTCAACATGACCTCTTCACAATTACTTGATGTCTGTGCGTCTCGATCATTGTCAGATGGTGATGGAATTGAGACATTTCTGGGGAATTCGCTGACGTTGGCTGTTTATCGTTTTCACAAAAGTTGTCGCCACTCTTGAAACCTGGTTTTACATACGCTGTACTTCTGTCACCCACAGTTCACAGTTGTCAGCTGTAAAACTGTTATCGAAAGTTGCTTGAACTTGACCAAAATTTAATTTCTTTGCTGGGGTCCTATTTCTCACGACTTTGTCATGGGAGACAATTTTCAACTTGCCATTGAAATTCAATGTCTTACCCAAAGGAAGTGGAGTAAACGTAAAGACGAGAAACTGAGACGATTTGTTGCTGTTATATTGACTAGAAGTCATTGACTTTTCTAAACTTCCAACCCAAACCGATTTAGTTCTAGCATGATTATATCTGTGAAGCGCAGTTATTATTGTTATTGCTGTGATAAAGTAGAGTGCAGATTTTATTCTCAATTCGGTGTCAATCTCAGCTAAGGTGGACGTAAACCTGTCGCCGGACAAGCGACAGCTCATTCTGCACTGGGAGCGTGCGGTTGTGATGAAGTTAAAGGCCGCCCTCACTGCCACACTGGCTTGCGTCGATGGAGAGCAGAGTACCTTAAATCTTCAAGTCTCATCGGTGGCGGTGACAGCAAGGACGGAATTGAAGTCAGCTGAGGGACTTACTCAACGACCTATCGTCCCAACCCAACTCTCTCTTGCCTCTAATATTCCTTCACGACCCGAGTCTTCGCCCCAAAATGCCAAAAAACCTCGACTCTCAACCAGTCCCATTACTTCTCAGAGATCCATCTTTACTAGCGACTCGGCAAGGCGCAATTACAATAAGCGTTTGGTGAGTAACACCGTTTGCATTGTTTACTCCTTTCTCCAGCCTCTGCTCAACCGTGAAAGCGTTCGTGTGGACTTCTCCATGAGCCGTCTGCTAAAGTATTGGGCGTCAAGAGGTAGTTTAAGTGAATCAGCGGAAACGCCTTCGATTGGTGAGTTTCACGCAGATCTGACGGAATCGGCGGCTCAATCGGAACTGACCTCAATTTTTCGGTGAATAGTTCGTTTTCTCCTTATTATCGGGGTGCTCCGATTGTTTTCATGGAAGATTCAATCAACTTTCACGGACACCTTCCATCATTATGGAAGTTTTCTGTCTTGCTAATGATTTCCTGAAATTTCCAATTAGGATGAGCAAAGAACACGAAACTAAATTATTGCTGCTTGCAGTTTTTCAAAAGTTCTAAACTGAAAGTAACTGCCTCGAATCGATCTATCTAATCCTTTACATAGTGGTAGATGTCACTTAAACTAGGTGTGTGTTGGTTTCATTACATTTATTTGGCCCAGTTACTGTTACTTTGCCGTCGCCATGGCACACGTTAATAAAGGGGTGTTGCTTCGTTCTTTATTGAAAATATGCTAACTTTTAGCACAAAGGGTTATAATAGCTCAGCAATTCTAATAATAAGATAGCACTTTAGCGTTCCGCCGTAGCAGCGGAAATAACT